CGGCTGAGGCTGAGGCAGCGACGCCGACGGACGGTGACGACGACGACGGGTCACGGGCCATGGGCCACCGGCCACGGGGGAGACCGTCGGACCGTCGGGGGGCGCCGCACGATGACTCATCTGCGAGGGCCCTCCGTCGGGAGGCCCCTCGACCACTCGGCCCTCCCGACGGGAGTCGACAGCCAGGGCCCGAGAATCCGATCGTATGTTAGAGCTCCAATGGAGCTCTAACATCGCATGTTAGATTATGTTAGAGCTCCCTGGGAGCTCTAACATCGCATGTTAGAGCTCCGTGGGAGCTCTGAGGCGGCGGCGGCGGCGGCGGCGGGTAGGTTAGAGCTACCAGGGAGCTCTAACATAGCATGTTAGAGCTCCCAGGGAGCTCTAACATGCTATATTAGAGCTCCCATGTTAGAGCTCCCTGGGAGCTCTAAAATACCGAGCTCCAACGGAGCTTTAACATAGCATGTTAGAGCTCAGTGGGAGCTCCCTGGGAGCTCTAACATGGTATGTTAGAGCTCCCGTGGGAGCTCTAACATGGCTTGTTAGAGCTCCAACGGAGCTATAACATAGCATGTTCGAGTATGTTAGAGCTCCCTGGGAGCTCTAACATGGTATGTTAGAGCTCCGTGGGAGCTCTAACATGGCATGTTAGAGCTCCCAGGGAGTTCTAACATGGTATGTTAGCCTTGAGCTCTAACATAGGATGTTGTTAGAGATCCTTGGAGCTCTATCATGGCATGTTAGATTCCCATGGAACTCTAACATGCTATGTAAGAGCTCCTTGGGAGCTCTAACGTGTTATGTTAGATTTCGATGTGAGGGTTTTGAACTCTAACATGCTATGTTAGAGCTCGATGGGAGCTCTAGCATAGCATGTTAGAGCTCCCATCGAGCCGCCCCCCCCGCCGTCGTCGTCGTCGTCGTCGTCGTCGTCGTCCCATCGGCCCCCCACCCCCCTCCTTTTAAGCGCACATAAGTAAGGGAACATGTCCGAACACGGCCGCACTCTCGCACGCACCGCTGCCCTGTCCCCGACCTCGAGAACGAAGGCTTCCCCCTTTGAAAGGCGGGGGCACAGGGGTGGGGCCCTGTCTTCGACCACGGTGAAACATGGGGGCGGGGCCCTGTCTCGACGGAAGGGGGGAGGTGGGGGGGGGGGGGGGGGGAGGGGGGGGGGGGGGGGGGGGTGGTGAGGGGGAGGGGGGGGTGGGGGGGGGGGGGGGGGGGGGGGGGGGGGTGGGGCGGGGGGGGGGGGGGGGGGGGGGGGGGGAGGGGGGGGGGGGGGGGGGGAGGGGCAGCAGGGACTTCTGAAGTAGAACTAGAAGGTGGGGTGGGGGGGGGGGGGGGGGGGGGGAGAGGGGGCGGCGGGAAGGGGGGAGTGCAGATGACCGGGGGGGGAGAGGGGGGAGGAAGGAGGAGGAGGAGGAGGAGGAGAGGAGGAGGAGGAGGAGGAAAGCTTCACCGCCCCCCACGCGCCGCCGACGTTCATCGTGCATCCGTCCCGTGCTGGCGAGCTCCTCACTGAGAAAGTACCCACCCCTGGCAATATGAAGACACGCTTCTCGTTGAGCTCCGTCAACGCATGAGGGGAGATCGATTTATGGCCGTGAGCGCGGTATACCGCGATTTCGTTCTTGTCGCGGAGGTTCAAGACCTTCGGGGCCATCGGAAAGAAAGGCGACAGGCCCTCGATCGAGCAAGCTCGCCAACAACTTCTCGAGCCAAGCGAGACTACGTACAATCAGATGGTGCGGGCCAGGAAACTGGAAGAATCCAGAGCGGTTGTGGATACTTCAGGCCAGGGTCAGGATGAGCATTGGAAGAGCCTACTGGGGGACCCAAGGATGAGCCAGCACAGGAAGGCCTCAGCATAATTGCGCGAGGCTGCTGCGAGAAGCCTGATGGGGACTGTGACAAGGGAATGCGGCGGCACGCCGCTGTGAGAAGACTTATACGACAACGCTGCCCGTGTGAGAAGCTACTGCCGCAGGCAGCGGCGCGCGTGAGGTCACTCGGTCATCCTTCTTCGTATGGCAGCTTGGTTTCGTATGGTAGTTTGGTTTCTTATGGTAGCTGGGTTTCTTAGGGTTGCTTGGCTTCTCATCGTAGCGTGGTCTCGTATGGTAGCTGGGTTTCCTATGGTAGAGGAGCCTATCATGGTAGCTTGGTTTCTTTGTCTGGCATCTGTCCTGGCATGTTCGGGCCCCCACGGAGCTCTAACATGCGATGTTAGGGCTCCCAGGGAGCTCTAACATAATCGAACATGCTATGTTAGAGCTCCCTTGGAGCTCTAACATGCGATGTTAGAGCCCCCAGGGAACTCTCACATCATCTAACATGCTATGCTAGACTCTAGAATAATCTAACAATATGCTATGACAGAGCTCTGTTGGAGCTCTAACATGTCATGTTACAGCTCCCTGGAGCACTAACATCATCTAACCACCCTAAGGGCCTCAAGAGGAGATCCCAGAAATTCTATCTCCCCACAGGGCCTCAAGAGAGGTTGCCAGAAATTCCTCGCCCCTCAGGGCGCCAAGAGGAGATCCCAATCTTCAACGCGCTCATTTTTTCAGTCATACTAGATGCAGAACCCCATAAATCTGTTATTCTTTCGAATTCGCTGGCCCGCTGCACGGGCACACCGCGCGAGCGCGGCGAAGGAGCTGGCACGCGAGCCAGGCTGCGCGCCTCCGACATCGGCTACCAGACGCCCATGCGAGGTCACTTGTCCTGCTGCTGAGCTCACTGGTCATCCTTCTTGTCCTGCGGCGTGAGCTCCTCCACTTTCTGATCGAGCTCCTCGACTTTCTCCTGCAGGTCCTGGAGCGCTGGTCCCTGTGCCCGCAGGAGGTCCAGAATAGGACCAATCTTCTCGGCCATGTTGTTATGTGCCATAAGGTTTGGAGCAGCGTTGGTCAAGAAATTGAGCATCGAGGTGATAACGGTGGTTAGCCCGTCCTGCTGCTGCTGCTGCGTAAGCTTCTGCTGCCACTGCTGTGCTCCTGCAGTTGCAGCTCCTGCTTTTGCAGCTCCTGGTGACGCAGCTCTTGAGCTGTTCCAGCTTTTCCAAGTGTTCTCTCCTGCAGCTGCTCCAGCTTCTTGCTGATGGCCTTCACTTTACCATTGCTCTCTGCTCTATCTGCCCTTGAGCTTGGGCTTCTTCGGCGACCTCCAATCATCCGCTTCGTCGTTTTCCCGCTTCGGGGCGTAGCTCGAGTGGAGCACCACAGTGTTCATGATCTTAGAGCACCAGGCGGCCTTCTCCTCATCAGAACCCTGTGGACAAGCATTATGCCACCAGGGATGCATATGCTTTACATTCTTGATGTGGTCCGCCGAAATCTGGTGCGTCGGTGCTGCCCATTTCTCGCGCGGTAAACAAAACCACCAGGGCTCCTTAGGTTCTCCACTCTTCTTCGAAACGTACTCGCGAACTTCTAGCCATGGCGCATCAATGGGTCCAGTGTCAGGGTCCATGATGACGGTTTCTGGACATGGGCCAGGCCTCCCTGCGCTGCCCCCCATTTCTGACATGGCAGCCTGCAGGCGCTGCAAGAAATGCCTTGAGCCGAGGTGCCTGCGCTACAGGAAAGCTGGGTGATCTGATAAATGGAACCAAGAGGGGTCCAGGAGGCTATTTTGTGGGTTCCCGAGGGGCAGGGCGATTTGAGGGATCCCCCTTCGTTGATCGATTTCCCTCGCATGGTAGAGCTCCCAGGGAGCTCGAACATGGCATGTTAGAGCTCCCAGGGAGCTCTAACATGGTATTTTAGAAGAACTTCAGGGAGCTCGAACAAGCTATGTTAGATCTCCCTGGGAGCTCTAACATGGGATGTTAGAGCTCCCGTGGAGCTCTAACATGCTACGTTAGAGCCCCCGTGGAACTCTACCATGGCACGTTAGATCTCCCATGGAGCCCTAACATGCTATGTTAGAGCCCCCACGGAGCTGTAACATACGATGTTAGAGCCACCAATGAGCTCGAACATACGCTAGCATGCTATGTTAGAGCGCCGTGAGAGCTCTAACATGCCATGTTAGAGCTCCCTGGGAGCTCTAACATGCCATGTTAGAGCCCCCATGGAGCTGTAACGTACCATGTTAGAGCTCCCTGGGAGCTCTAA